TTGGAAGCCTCGAGCCATATGGCCTTGAGCCAAAATGGCTACGGAAGGGTTTAGGGTTTCGGCTCTCACACTCGGACAAATGCAGGCGAGGCTTGTGGTCTGAGGTCTGCAATGGTGAAACTTCAGAGTTTAGGGTCCAGGGTTTAGGGTGCCCAGCAGAATCTAATCTAATGACGGCGCCGCTTCGAAAGCTCGTAGCAAATATCGCTTACACTCGACGTTGTTCCAAGAAGGAGGGTCTCGCAGAGATTTCTCTGATGCTATCCCGAGTCGTGCATGCTGTCCGGGAGGAGATTCAAAACCGAGAGGATGCAATGCAGGTGGAAGCGTGTACCCAAACAATGGAGGCCGGCACACAGACTGAGACAATCCAGTTAACGGATGCTGAGGACTACAAGTCGTGTTGCAGCGAGGATGGCGAGTTCCATGGGGCACCTACCACCGAGGAAACGAAGCTCCTGAATTGTGATCAAGATATGCGGGATGCGGGTTTGGATGATCAGCCAGAACAGCAAGGCAGCTCGTACAAAAAGAGTTGGTTGATGAGTGACGAGCAGTTGGATTTCATTCGTCGGAAAATCCAAGATCTCAGTGAGCCATTGACTGTGGCTACGATGGATGAGCTGCTTGTTTTGATGCGTGGCAAGTTGCACGCCCTGCGACAGTTGAAGCAAGAAGCGTCGAGTGAGTCTGAAGCGTCCGATTTGGATCATCAGCGCACTGTTGTTGAGTCGCCGAAAAGACTGTACAGGGGCTGTCACCTGACATCACTGGGGCGGTTGAATTAATGATTGACTGTCGGTGGCTACAATGCTGGCTGCCGCTGCTAGTCCGACACGCACGTTTGGACCTCGCATAACAGAGTCCGAGTTGTGAGAGCGTATAAACCCTAAATGGATGGATCGAACTACGGGCGGGGCTGAGGCCTCTGAAGAAAGTCTGCTGTCGAAGCTACGATGTGGGGCAAAAGGATTTCTGGGTCGGCAGTTGGCTGATTTAATACTGGGGCCTTATTGTAGTTATAGTATAGTATACCCCAAACCTCTACTCTAACTATTAAGAAATTAAGACCCCTACATTAGGGTTATCTGTGGGCAATGCAGGCGGGGAACCCTGATGAAGCCTGAACCCTGCAATTCTGGGTTGGATTACAAGAACACTTTCCTAAACCGTAAACCGCCATCCCAGCTAAACCCTCTCCCCTACGCTCCAAACCCTCCATCAGCAGGATCCTCATGCTTGAGGCCATACACCCCAAGACTTACCTCAAACCTTAAAAGGTTTAGGCCTTACCAGGGTAACTCCTTTTTCGGAAAGTCCCACTGAGGGTTCCCTTAAGGCTTCGAGAGGTGTTTGATAAAGGGACCTAGGGTTCAAGCATGAAGGGACTAGGTAAGTAGTTTATACATGTCATCTTGTATAGGGTCATCCTAAGTATATCTCCACTTCGCTCGACTTCCAACTTACCCAGCATCCTGCTCCAAGTACTCCAGACTGAAGGCCAATGAGATTATCCAGTCCTCGATGTCGTTGCGGCCTCGGTCCTGATTTCTTGACATGAAAGGCTCTTGCAGAGAAGGATCGTGGTCGGAGATTTACGGGGTTCATGGCTTGAGTGCTTGATTTTTGGGGTTACCGATTGAAGTTGGTTCAGGAGTTTAGGTGGTAGCTTTTGATATCCTTAGACGTCTTGCTCAATCCTTTGAGAGCAAGCCCAGTGGGGCTTGACAACATCCCCCAAACCGTTTTGAGGCCTAAATACTTGAACCCCAACCTCGAGACATGAAGCTCCAAACCCCCAGCCCTAATTAAACCCCATACGACAGGCAAACCCTAAAACCCTAAACCCCCAACCCCCAAACCCCCAAAACTCTACGATCTCAGACGCGAGCGATGGGAAGGTTGGACTGCCAGGGCAAGAAAGGCAACGTCGGCTTCAAAGTTGCCCAGACCCAAGTTGTTGGGTTTCGGGTCAGAACGCACAGGAATAGTATTGTTTAGGGGTTTAGGAGGGTTTGGGGTTTTGGGGTTGCGATGTGCTGCGAGGGAACTTGGCCAGGCGAGCTCCGATCAAGCATGTGTAAAAAAGGGTTTTAGGGTTTAGGGAGTACAGTATCCCTTCAAAAGACAGGCAGACAGACAGAGGGAGACAGGCAGATGGCCAGACAGCCAGACAAAGACACACAGACGCACAAACGCCCAGACACACACACACACACACGCGCGCACACACACACACATATACGCACACACAGAGACACAGCAGACAAACAGATATACAGACACACAGATACACACACACACACATGCAAAAACAGACACACGAGCACGCACACACACACACACACACACATCCGCACCATATATGCATAAGCATGTGATAAAAATGGTTGTCGGGCGGTTCAATACTTCTGCTGTTTTGTGCGTATGGTATTCCCTCCCCTCCCACCCACCTCCCGCCTGTATCCTCCCACTTTCACCCTTTTGCTTCGACCTGCCCCACCTTTACGCTCCCACCCTTAACCTTCCACCTTTACCCTCCCATCTTTAACCTTTCAGTGGTCCCACCACACCTTGGGGTGGGAGAGGATAGGAGGGGTAGGTGGGAGGTGGAAGAGGTGGTTATTGGGGGCCCTCATATAGTAGTCCTTATAGATACCTTTATAAAGGAAGCTTGGAAGCCTGTACAAGAACTGACGATGCACCTCTACTAGCCATGCAAGTCCTACCACCCTATACTACACCTTCATGAACCCAGCCCCCAGCCTTCCGAGATCACCCGCGCCGTCAGCAAGCTGGCCGAGATTCTAGAAGAGGAAGAGGAGGATCCCATCGTGAGCCAGGCGGGGCTCTTGACGGCGTTCCTTGGACGAGTGCTATATGGGTTTGCTTACGGTTTTTAAGTTGGCGCTGTGGGGGCTTCGAGAGTTCTGAAGGGGTTAGAGCTGGGGGTTAGGGGGCTTAGGGCTTAGGGCTGAGGTCTTTGGGTTTTAGAGTTCGGAGTGTATTTCTGGCAATCAGGTTTTTGGTGTTTGGGGTGGCCCTTGCTAGATGTATAGGAAAACTGATCAGGTGTCTATCCCCTATACGCTTTGAATCGTAAGGCCCGTTGAAGCAGGTAGCCTCCTCCATGCATCTTTCCGCTGTCAGGGTGGCAAGAAAGTAAAGGTTTCTTTCCTACAGTCTGGCAATAACATTCATGACAGAGCCTCACTCCCTTGCCAGAAACTTGCGAGCACCTACATGTTCCTTCATGTTGAATGTTCCGAAGTGCAAGAGCCCGACTGTTTTTTAGTAAAGCTGAGCCGGACTTGCCGTGTGTCGAGCACGTCATGTCGAAACTCGCAAGTAATCATAAGTATTATGTTTCATAAGAAGGGATCGCAGAACCATTTTCTGTCTGTTCTTATAGTATGCCTGCCGTGGGGCCAAGGAACCTCCGAAACCTGATGCCCTAGGATCCTGCAGTCGAGAAACCTGCGTGGTTTCGGGTTGAATTTAGGGTTTTTAGGGTTTACTGGGGTTGGGGTTTTAATAGGGTTTAGGGTTTACTGGGGTTAGGGTTTTAATAGGGTTTAGGGTTTACTGGGGTTAGGGTTTTAATAGGGTTTAGGGCTTACTGGGGCTAGGGTTTTAGGGGTTATGGTTGAAGAACCTAAGCGAACAACTTCGAAGAAGTCATTCCTGCTACACCAAGACGTAAAGCGAGCATGAATAACATAACATGACAAAACGTTACAATACATAACAAGACATAATACAACAAAGTTAATGTAGTATATGATGTGATATGACCTTACGTGATTATTACGGCTTCTTTACGCCAGGGAATCGGGCATAGTCTCTGCAGATCACAGAGTAGACTCCTGTAAAACTTTCTACGGCCTTAAAATCATCAGAGTCGGGTTTGCAGGGCTGCTTTGTAGTATCAAGAGAATAAGGAGCTCGAAGGAGTGATATGGGTAACTATTCAGGCTTCTGTTTAGGGTTTAGGGGTTTAGGGTTTAGGGTTTCTATATTAAGCTTTCTACCGCAAGCCTTGACCGCCAAGCTTTCGGCTTGAGATCTTCGCACCCGGACCCTGACGAGCCGAAATCGTGTGGTCTTGGCCTCATACGAGATCTTAGGCTGTTGGGGTTTAGGGTTTAGGCTCTTAGGGATCCGGTTTTGGGCACATGTTCTGGGCAGAGGGAGCTCCTCGGGGTGTGAGAGTTTACGGGTGCCGGGTTTCAGGGCTTAGGGTTGAGGGCTTAGGTGTTACAGCACGCATCGCCTGCATACTGCGCGAAGGTCTTTTCTTTGTACCAGGATCCGAAATTGAAGCTGGGAAGGAAGCAAATAGCACCTGAACTGAACATAAGCTAACTGAAAGCTCAATGGCCTTGAAAGGATTATCCTTCGCTGACTTTCCTACTCCTACCTTTGAAGATCTCAGAGGGACTCCGGATCTCTTCGTAGATCTTTCGGCTTTGTCTGGGGTGCAGAGAACCTCCAGATTGTGGATCTGTGTCTTTATTGTTTGTATGCAACTTTATAGTTCTTGATGGTGCATAAGCATGCACACATGAAGTGTATACTAGCATCATGGAAGTACCAGTTTGTAAGCATTGGGGTGTCCAATAAGCTCCGGAAGCCCTGAATTAAGCAATATAATAATCTTCCAGTCGTAGAAGGATCCTTCACACATGATTTAAGGTGCAATTGCTGCCTACTCTGGGGCTTCTGCGTCTCTAGGTTTGCACAAGGATGATGATACGCAGGACTGTTGAGCGCCTAGGCTGGACACTTAGAATTAGCGGATCGTAAAGGAAGCCTTCTTTTCGCACATGTTCGAAGAGGGGCTTTAAACCTCAACAGGTGTGTTCTCAAGAGCTTCGCGTGATCCCCTTAACACTAGACCCTAATCCCTGAACCTTCATGCCTTTAACCCCATAGTACATCTTTAAACATCAATCCTATAACCCGAACCCTATATCCTCAAAGCTCAGGATACCTTGACGATGGCTTTGCGGCTGTGCTTGACGTCCTCGCTGGCTGCTCTCGCTACCTTAGGCTTGCAAGGCAAGGTTGAAAAAAGAATGGTTTCGGAATGTGTTCGACTTCGAGGGGGTTCCGTTCGGCTCTAAATGGTGCTGGGTGCTCTGTGGTTTGAGGTTGGACGGGGTGTCAGGAGTCTTTCGGGAGTTTTGCTTCAACCAGGTCTCTCCATTTCAACAGAGCAGGGGGTCTATTGGGAGTCTTGAAAAGAATTTAGGGTTTAGGGCATGATTGGGGCAGCACCTCCTCAAAGAAGGCATGATTGGGGGTTGCAGTGCTTTTTGTTTCCACATGATGCTTCTTGAAATCAGTGGCTATTCATGGTGTGTGCACACTTGGGTGCGCATTTCGCACTATGATTTTGACAACTGCCATAGGGGCAACGCAGGCAGTAGGCAATCAATCGCGAACTCATAAACGGATCAGGGGGTTCCTCTAAGGGTACACTTAAGGGTTCTAGAATAGGGTCCCTTGAAGGGAACCCTTATAGTATGTTGAAAAGGAAGAGCCTCTCAGGGTAGCTCAAGCTTTGTATCACGCCGACCCGCACCTATGGATCTTCGCCTGGCTTGTCCGAGATGCTATACCCTAAACCCTAAACCCAAACCCTAAACCTTAAAATCGTAAATCCCTAAATACGAGCCTCTTCAACCCGCAAGCCGAGACCCCACTTACCCGCAAGTCCGCAAGCCCAGAGGCTGCGACAGCGGAAGCAAGCCGCCAGCCAACAAGGAGATTTAAGAGAGTCTCAGGGAGTGACCCGAAGGGTCCAAGGGACCCGGTAATCAGAGAACTCTGGTTTAGGATAGTACCTATATAGGTTGATGTTTGGGAGCGTGTATAAACACACAAATAATACACCAACAGATATCTTGACTATATGTACATACATATGTACACATTTTGTTTATTCATGTGTTTATGATTGTTAAGTGCTTGGACCCTGAGGGTAAGGAATCCTCTGCGCCCTAAATAGAGCCTGTCAGCCACCCTTTAAAGAGTACTTTCAGGAGGAGTTTCAGGGTTCGTTTTGCGGTTTAGGGTTTAGGGTTTAGGGTTTTTTACATTGTTGCCAGAGGGGGGTAGGGTTCAGGGCGTTGGGTTTCGGGCTTCGGGTTTGCGAGGTCAGAGTTCTGGCTTCATTAGGATTTGGGGATTCATCCACCCGAGCTTTAGCACCTGAGTGGATGGGATGGACGCTAGGCAATAGCATTTCTTGGATTCATATTCTTTAGTTCTACTGTGAAGCCTCCTAAAACCATTCCGAAGTAATTACTCAGACCGCCACCTCGCAATCCAGAAACACGACAACCAGCACCAAGAACTGGGGCTTCTGGTACAGCGAAACAGGACACGACCCACACCGTCACGCTGCGGAATGGCGTGAAGATGCCCATCCTTGCAGCAGGCACCTGAAAGTTTGATATTGCCGTGGGCAGCGTCCAACATAGCTTGCTGCGCTCGATAGACTATGCTATGAGAGTATCAGCGAGACTTGCTGCCAAGTATGTGGTCGCCCTCCAACACTACAAAATACGGCAAGTAAGAGCTGCAGCTGAACAGGTGAATATAAAAGGGGTCGGAATAATGAGAAGAAGTGTCTTATGGCCTCTGTATTTCTTTGGCTGCACTCTGGCTTCTATACGTGGTGTTTTCGGCCTCTTGCCATCTTCTTGGATAATCCCTCGGACACTGAACAGCACCACTGGCCTTGAACCCACAGACCTAAACGACCGAAACTCCCAACCCTAAATCTTGAAAGCCCGTCAGGAAACACCAAACTCCTTACCCCAAGGCCCTAGATCCTTGAAGCCGTTCAGGAACTTGGCAGTACAACGACTCTGTGGCGGAGCAGGTCGTGGTAGATGCTCTCGACGCTGGCTTCTCTCACATTGACACCGCCTACGACTATGACAATCAGGTCGGCTGTCTAGGCTTTAGAGTTTTAGGCTTCAGGCTTGAGGGCTTTAGGCGGTAAGGTGCTCATTTTCGGCAGCGATTCCATCTGCCACTTTCGGGCTGCCGGGCTAAAGCCATCCGCCCCAGCTTTGGTCTCCGAATCTTCGATAAACATATGCGGTTTCGGCGCTGTGCACCACGTCAAAACAAATCAAACTCCACACCATACCGAGGCAAACTCGCGGCTCCATTCCCCAAGCCCACTACTATAAGGGCTACTCATACTACACTGGTTGCTACATCGGCTTTCATCCGAGTGACTATAAGGGCTGCTACAAGGGTTCTTGTAAGGTTACCTTACGTAATATAGGGGGGAATAATAGTTACCTACACTATTTTGGTGGTTCTTTATTGTAATTATAGTATAATGGGCCCCAAAACCCTATTATTATTATTATTCTTCTTATTCTTATTTTTATTCTTATTATTATTATTCTTATTATTATTAAGGCCCCTATAGTACGCTTCAGGATCTGGGAGCTTCTCAGCTCTCTGGGCCGAGAGGGTAGACTGTGAGCTTTTGAAGTCCTTTGAAGTGGAGCTCGACTGGATCTATAGTAGGGTTTAGGGTTTAGGGTTTAGGGTTTAGGGTTTATAGCAAGGATAGGTGAACTTAGCAAGTCGTAGATAGTAGAACTACAAGTAGGATGAGTCCTTGCTGAAGGCGACCGCAGATTTGAAGAAAGGCGTACTAAAAGCTCACACCTAACCTAAACCCGTAACCCCAGCCAGTGCAGTATCACCCAGGCTGCGGGCGTCCTTGCCTTTGCATGATAGCCTTGGTCTATGGCATGACGGAATATCTGTTATGTAAACCCTCGGGACTGGCATGCGCGAGCCATACCCCACAGACCCAACCCCAGCATGCAAAGAAGTGAACCCTGAACTCCTGCGAGCCGTAAAGAACCCCGAAAGGAACCTCAAAGTACCGAAGGTCGGCGTGGGCAAAGGGCTCAAGACTTGGCTCAAGAAGTCTGGCAAGGGCCGGGAATCCATTTTCGTGACGACTAAGGCAGGGCTCTAGATCTGAGGGTGACGGGTTTAGGGTTTAGGGTTTAGGGTTAGGCCGACTTCACAAGCCCGGATGCAAAAAAGGGTTTGGGGTTTAGGGTTTAGGGTTTAGGGTAGGGTAAGCAACCTGAAAAAGTCTTAGGGGTGTGGTGTAACTTTTCAGACAACTCGGCTTAGGCCTTAGAGCTTGGAGGGTTTAGGGGTCAAGGTATACATGGGCCTTGATAATTGGATCAGGCATGTGGGGTAAAATATAGTAGCCAGTAGCAGCATATCATTACATACCTATGCATATATATATATATACATATATATATACATATATATATATACATATGTGTACATATATATATATATATATTTACATATGTATGTTATGTGGTATTTGTTTATAACCAGGTGTATATATATATATAAACATATTGGGACTATGAGGAGCTATTCAGACGACTTTTGTTTTCACTCATGGGTCCTTGGCTTTTGCACCGGCCTTAAGGTCAGGAAGCAGTTATGGATTTTGACCCTAAACCCTAAACCCTAAACCCTAAATTTGACAGTTCAGGGTGTTGGGCTTAGGGCTGAGGGTTTAGGGCTTGGGGTTTCGGGGTTTAGTGTTAGTTTTAGGGTTTAGGGCTGAGGGCTTAGGGTTTAGCTACGGTATTGCAACCGCTTCCTCCATCACGGTTGAGGGTCTAGGTCTTAGGGTTTAGGGCATAGGGTTTATAGAACGCATTCGTGCTGCAACTGGGCTGAGCTCCTGGGTTTAGGGTGTAGGGATTACAGTAAGGTGCTGGGGAAAGACTGCGGGATCATGGATTCTGAAGCCAGGCAGCTGCACGTCAACATCTAAGTCCATAAATGAGGAGCTTATGGAGACTGGACTTCCGGTTTACTCGTTCAGGCTTCGGGTTTACGGATGTTGGAATCTGACACATATTGTCCGTTTCCAGATTCAGTGCTTGGCAAGGTTTGTTTGAGCAGCACCCCAAACACGTCACTACCTTTCTACTCCTTATAGTCTGGGTCCGGGTAAACCTTCAAGCCCTTATACCCCAACTACTAACCTCTGCAACGCCAAAGCCTTGAACCCTGAAAATCCCAAAAGACCCATACCCCGAAACCCTACTCTAGTTAT